TTTAATAAATATACATCATTGTATGGAATTTATAAGAACATATAATCTGAGAATTACTATAGTATTGGAATGAATGGAATTCCTTTGAATTGTTAATTGAAAATGAATAATTGCTCAAAAACAGTCCAAATGTATGCAACCTACATATTTATTTCTAGCAAAACAACATCAAAACAACATAAATATTACTCTGAAAAAAAATCCAAACACATTAAATACATTTTACGTGAATAAACTTTAACTTTCAAATGAAAAAAGTGCTTTTCAGTAAAAAAAAAAAAAGTGCCAAATTCAGTAAATACTGTATATTTTAAATATGTTTTTTTATTACACTAATGCAACTTTATAGATAATTTAACAAAACATATTTTTGACACCTAACGGTATTTGGGTCCAAAAATGACCCGGACACGAAACATGTAACATTTAAATAGTAACATCTCTTTAAAAAATCATTGTTAAAAAAAAAAAATAAAAAATCTGTGGGAAATTATTATTTTTTTGTATCTGCAGGGCCTTAAGCATTTGCAAAGTGTTGTTCCCTTACTAAAAACTATGATTTTAAATGTTTTTTAAATTTGCATGCATCTCTTTCAGGTCAAAACAGACCCAGTTGCGTTACGAGGCTTATAAAGAGTGTTCACCCACAAAATATTAATTCTGTCATCATTTCTACTCACCCTCATGTCCTTCACACCTGCATGACCTCCTTTCTTCTCTGGAACACAAAAGAAGATGTTTTGAAAAATGTCTGAGTTTTTTGCGCACACACTCATAAAAATAAAGGTCCCAAAAGAGGTTTTCACAGCAATGCCACAGAAGATCCAGTTTTGGTTCCCCAAAGAACCTTTCAGTGAAACATTTCCTAATAGAACCATTTTTTATGGTTCTAAAGAACCTTTTAAGAACATTTCATGGTTCCATGGATGTTAAAGGTTCTTCATGGAACCATCGGTGCCAATTATTAGCTATTATCATGAATTAGCTATTATTAGAATTAGCTATTATCATGTTCTCATACACACAGCATGGAACATGTTGAAACGTTAAATGTTAGATAATCAATATCTATAATACTGTATATCAATATAGTCAACATTAGATATTGTCACGAATTCGGTCCATGGACTTCCGTTTATTCGCCCTTTCCATTACATTGACTCTCGCACAACACAAACTGTTGCATAGCACCCCGGACTACATATCCCATCATTCATTGCACGGTTTGCACACTGCACTGATTGCACGCATTGCACACAGCTGTTTCTTATCACCTCATTCACTATATAACACCCACTCAAACTGCCATTCTCTGCTGAGTATTGTTTAGCCTGTACCCCTTTCCGAGTCTCACGTCTCGTCAGCCCCGTTACAGATATCATTAATCAATAACTGAAATGTCACCTATACATTGTGTATGTATACATTGCATTTCACAAAGTACAGTTGATGATGAATGACCTAAAGAAGACTTTTCCCCCGAATGTAGATGTGAAAAAAATCTGAAAACGACGTGGTGACATTTCGTGTTGTATTTCAGAATTGAAATGATGGCTGTGAATTATTCTGATAAAACTGAATGTAGTTTAATCTTACCAGAGAATAAATTGGCATAATTAGACAAAATTAGTTCTAAGTAAAAAAAAAAAAGTCTTTGAATGGCAAAAGTCATTCCAGTTACAC